CAAATGTAAAGCCCATTAGTGATTTTATATCGACGTCAAGCCCGATGGCTCTCCAGATTTTGACACCGTTAGCAAACCTGATGGAACTGCAGCCCAAGTCGTTGAAACAGAGTAGGAAGAGCAACAGTCTTAAGAAAAAGCCTTGGGAGACACCACTTGGAACAGGGCAGGGGTTGACTTCGGGTCACCGATACACACAGTTTGCAATAACCTGTGAGACAATCTGTGATCAATGTCGGCATGTTTCCTTTTATTCCAATTGCAGATAATTTATACATTAGACGTTTATCTGAGACGCTTTCAAACACTTTCTTGAAATAAGTATAGACGTTAACTTTACCATCTTCAGTGCGCGAGTCCATTGCTTGGTCAAGAGCAATAGGCTGGAAAGACAAGAGTGGTACTGTGTGAAGCCGCGTTTGAGTCCTGAGAGAAAGCTGTTCTCCTTCATGAACTTCAATGTCACCCTCTTAATGATTGCTTCCATCACCTTACTGCAAATGCAAGTTAAGGTGATAATCTGATAATTGTTGCCCTACGTTTGGGCCTGATCATTTTATATCTGGTATATATTTGCCGTTTTCCATTCGGATGGCAGTCTCCCTAATTCAAATGAAGAACGTGAGATATGCGCTAGTGGTTTTGAGAGTTAGCTCGCCAATTCTTTCAAGAACTTGGCCGGTATATTGTCCGGATCGGGGGACTTTGCTCATTTTATGTTTTGCAGCTCTTTTCCACTATGTATGTCGAATAGAATGGAGATTCAAACATTAGGCCAGCGTTAAGAACAGTACCATTGACATTGTGAAACTGAAGCTCGGTTTTCCGACTGAATACTGAGGCAAAGAACTGGCCACAGTACTCGGCTTTCTGACCATTTTCAACGACTTCTACGCCATTATCATCCTTTAGTACTGCGACTGAATCTTTGTCTTTGGTCGAATATCAATATAAAGGAATAAATGTTGGATGAACTGTGAGTTTCATTAACTTTAAACTGAAGGAAGTTGGCGCACCTTAGACTGTCAGCTTTTTCCAGTCTGTTGCGGGCGTGTTTATATCATCAGCAATAAGAACGTCTTGGTGGCTAGCTCATTTCTTCACGAGATTAGTAAGCGACTGGTTGGTTGTATGCACCCAGGAATTCTAGGTTCTGTGAATTTCCCTTCCTTAACTTTATCCAGACGGATTCATACGCAAGAACAAGGGCGTGCTCTCCATAAGTCAGTTTCAAGTCACTTTGTAGTCTGTCCTCTCAAATTACGTGTGACTGCGGCCAGGGTGGACACTGGAAAGTTATTGTTCTCCAACAGAGTGATCGAAGTTTAGAATGCTCTGCCTCTGGATGTTTTTATGTCGGAGTCCTTAGAGGCCTTCAAGCGGAAGCTGTACCACTATAATAGTGCACGCTACAATACAACCTGACCTCTGTCACTCGATTGGTGATTTTCAAAGAAGACTCCATGGCATTTATTTGACAAAAGGCGACTACCCCAACATGATTTCTTATTGCCAGCATTGTAACCATTTTCCTGTTTGCGTACTCAGTTTGCGAACTCTTTCGCATTGTTCCAAGACCACTCACTCGAATCTGTGTCATGTTACCACACCCTTCTACAACTTCATATTGACCGTAGCGATGATATGGTTTACTTCAAATTAATTAACTGATTTATAATAGGGTCCTCGAAGGCATTCCTTGCCTGTAACCGTTCAAATAAACATATACCCTGAAATTCAAAAAATATAATTAGTATACTACTAGCTACACCCTGGTAACATCAGTGTATATAATTGTAAATTATAGTAGGGCTGATCGATAATGACACCCGACTGATACAACCCGACGCCCGATGAAATTTTAATTCAGAAGAAGAAGCGATCACTGGAACAAGAGTTTTATTGTCCTGACGTT